GAAGTGCTGACGGTGCGGGACACACCGCAAAAACTAGGGCAACAGACGCTCACTGACGGCCCGACTTTGGTCGACGGCCGAATGTCAGCTTGGTGTGTCAGGACCTTTAGAGCTCAGGTTCAGGGACTGAACCTGGGCCCATTAGAAAATAAAAAATAAAATAAAACAAAGAAAAACTCAGCACATTTAACGAAACTATTAAACTTGCACGATTCCTGCACATTTAAATGCACTGACGAGCTTTAGAAAAAAGTGTCTGCTGAATAACTTTAATGTTCTGTAAATGATCTGAAACAACGGGCGGCCTGTGAGGACGGAAATCAATCTAAAAACTGACCTGATTCAGAAAACCATCAACAGGAATAAAAAATAAAATCCTGAATTATAGTTACATTTATAGTTAATGGAGTTTAGATTGTAGAGAACTTAATATGATGTTCTGTGATGTCAAAGTTCAACATCAACAAGATTTATCTTTATTATACGGGAGCAGCTCTGCAGGCTGTTTGTGACCTGACGTCAGTTAGAGATGCAGGCAGCAGCTCACACACACACACACACACACACACACACACACACACACAGGTTGTTGGTGACAGCAGCGTCCGTCAGGGGAATCGAACGTGTGACAGGTCACAGTCCAGCAACTCGTCAAGGACACTTCAACAGGATGGATGGCCTCTACTGTCACTGTGTGTGTGTGTGTGTGTGTGTGTGTGTGTCCCAGTATCACACTGTGAATACCAAGTTTTGATGGAGCAGTTCATGTCCTGTGACGTCAGAGACATTAATGTGTCATAACTAATGAGTTTAACGAACCATTAACATGTCACTGTCGTACATGCTCATCACTGGTTTCCTTTTCCTGTTCTCTGTTAATGACTCGGTGTCTTTTGCTTTTATTACTGCAGGTTTTACAGATTTGTGTCTCTGAGCTGGACGAACTGCTCACATCGTCTCCTAAAGCAAAAATACAACATGTACAGATGCTTCATCACGAGAAACAGTCGGGGACAAACGTGAGACAGACTTGTTGAGCTGTGATGTCACCTTAGTGAAGCTGTGTGATGACAGCAGCACAAACTGAAGGCTGCGTCACCAACGTATCCTCATAGAACGGTTCATATGATGTCCTACAAATTTGTGCCCAACGAATGACGTCACGTCCTTAATTTACAGCTCTGTGATGAACATGAAGTTACTGAGGACATCCGACTTATTTTTATCCATCTTTTTTTTTTCTTCCTCTTTTTCCTTTTGTTTGTGACTTTTAAAATATGAAGTATTTGCTTTCACTGAATTCCTTTGCAAACGTTTGTTGTAGAAATGAAGGGCTCAACAAAGTGTGTGTGTGTGTGTGTGTGTGTGTGTGTGTTATTGGCAGGTATCTGAGGACCCGATTGATGCCAGCAGCCCCCTGCGACAGGCAGCGCTCTGATTGGTGGATCTCACTCTGGTCTGAGCGTGCTCATTGGGGACACTTTGGCCTGGTTCCATCGCTGCGGTGACAAGAGACCCACACACACACACACACACACACACACACACACACACAGTTTTACCGCTGTACTTGTGAGGACCGTCAAACTTTAACCCTCTGTGAGGACGTGAGGACCAAACACAACGACCTCGCTCTCTAAGAATGTCCTCACTCGTCAAAAAGCACAAACTTTCTAACCTCCTCACCTTCACTGCTGCATCCGTTTTCTATTTTCATTTGCTAATTATTCAGCTGCTGAGTCATTTCCTGTTTCATCTCCATATTTATTCTGTCGTACATTTTTGTCCAGATTGTTTTATTTTATTTTGTAAGTAGTAAATTCCCAGTGCGTCAGTTCACTGTAAAATTCTGAGCACATGGTATCTACAGTTTCTCTTTTTAGTTTGAGACATTTTTTATTTTAGAAGTCTGTAGAATTATTCACTTCTCTACACTGTTATGTTTCAAACGCTCAAAAATACGTAAAAACACTGTTCGGTCTAAATTCTGACACAAAGACATGAAGTCATATGAAAATAAACCTTTAAATTATAACACACCACCTCTATATTTGGGCTGAAACATTGTTTTGAAATGATTTATATACATGAAATAAAAAAAATTAAAAATTGTTTTGATTTGCTTTTGTTTTTTAAACTTCTAAACTCGCCCTGTGTCAGAAAACAGCCTCGTCCCCGACAAGAATTCATAACTTCAAACAGTTTAAAATGTTAAAAGTAGGGATGGATGATGTCGTGTTTTTAGCATAAATCTTTCGATTTTGTTTTTTTTCTGTGAAGGACGTCATGAGGCAGCAGCCTGTGGATTTACCGAGCTCAGGACGATGCTGTGATGTCAGTAACGATTCACTCCTCTGAGCCACCGTACATTTGTTCACAGACTGTGACAGAAACACATCTGTGGGCCTGATTGTTTCATTGTTCACAACTGAATCAAAAGCACTTAGGACACATTCTCTTTGGTTACTGGTTCTTTCATCATCACTTACAAGCATGCCACAGTTTTCTTTGCTGCTTCATTGCTCTGTTGGTAATTAAAGCACTACAAGCCAACTGTCTGTCGTCTGTTTCAATTTTTGTCATTCATACTCCTCATGCACACTTGTTTATCTTTCAAATGTGTTGTTTTGTTACTTGTGCTGTATCATTTACCTGATCAATCAATCAATCAATCAATTTTATTTATAAAGCCCAATATCACAAATCACAATTTGCCTCACAGGGCTTTACAGCATACGACATCCCTCTGTCCTTATGACCCTCACAGCTGATCAGGAAAAACTCCCCAAAAAACCCTTTAACGGGGAAAAAACGGTAGAAACCTCAGGAAGAGCAACTGAGGAGGGATCCCTCTTCCAGGACGGACAGACATGCAATAGATGTCGTACAGAACAGATCCATGTGCTCCGCGCAAATCCCGTGAACACCCGTTCTGGGATACACAGTGTCGGCCCGCCCCGCTTTACCTCCGCGCTCCTCTCCGCTCCTCTCCCAGACACTTGAGCACACGTCCAGGGCCCCAGAGGTTGGGCCGGGGGGCCGGGGGGCCGCGGGACCACGGGTGGCAGCTCCGGGCACTTCCACTTTAACCCAGAACGAGTGCTCACGATAACCAGATGAGCAGATAACATCAACTAGGGAAAATAAAATGAAAACACCACAGTTGTAGCCTGTTAGCTAACATGAGCTAAACCGCTAAACTAGCTAACAGCTAACGAAAGATAACGTTAGCTGGTGGGGACATGTGCTATATACACCCAGTCATGCCTCGCCACTCACCAGGAACCTCTTTTAACGGTCACAGAAGAAACAACAAAGCTGTTTTCTGCCAATTTATTCCAGTTAGCTTACCTGAAAGCAACTGCGATGAGATGCTGTGTGCTGCGAGCTCAGTTCCAAACAAACACTGCGGAGATGAAATTCGGCCTTTGTGGTGACTTCCGTATGTGGGCAGACGTTCTACGGCACTGGGCCGACCCAAAGCCGACGTAACAGAGACGTTTGAAGAGCTGGGACAAAAGAGTATTAAATTTAATGATATCCGCCCATGCGACCCACGCTTGTCAGACGTTATAAATTCAGGGTGTCGATGTGTCGTCCTCAGGCCGACGTCAGCCAGATGTATGTGTGCTATCTGGGTGGTAACATCGGTGTCAAAATGTACTGCTATAATCATCTTTGATTTAAAGTCTATTTTTTCTGACAGTGTTGGCCCTTTAAAGATGTGTTCCAGATTTTTGTCAACTACGTCAGATTTCCACAAAACATCACGTAGTCAGGTATAAAAGGAGTTAGCTACATCACCAGGACTCCTGTCGCACTTCCTGGATCCCCACATGGAAATGTGCTACTATTCCTGCTGGAAAAACAGTAACAGGTCACAAAAGAAGAAGAACCACATGACCTGTTTTATTGTCTCCCTGGAAAAACAGTGGCGGGTTGCTAAAAAACATTCATATTTGGTGCCTACAAAGCGGCTGGAAAAACAGCCATGGGTTGAAACAAAACACCTGTGTTTGAAGTTTAAAAGCTGTGAGAAAAACAGCAATTGAGTGACAGAGAACACCCACCTTTTCTGCCAAAAAAATGCTGGAAAAACAGTGACGAGGCGATACCAAACAACCAAATGTTTTGTTTGTTGGTCTTGAACAGTGTCACACCATCCACCATCGCCTCCACCTGCTGATGACAAAGTCAGCTCATAAACTACGTCACTTCAGAAACGTTGAATCGTATGAAATGTGCAAATATCAAGTATTTGTCGTTTTGCAGAAACATTCAATCCCAGCAATTTCTTCTGGCGACTGAGCTGCAACTGAGTTGATACCAAAGAAGTACTGGATATTATATGCAACTTTATTATGATAGAAAAACAAAACAGAACAGTTTGAAGAGTTGAGATGTACCGTGCAGTGAAGATGAGGCTTTGTTTCCACAGTCACCTCCTCCTGAGGCTGTGTGGTTTCTTTGACCCACATCAGAAGTTGAGGAGGAAAAATCATTTCAGGAGTTCAGAGCTGATCTGACTCCTGCTGGATTCACCCTGTAGTCCTGCAGGTACACTCACAGCACACAGACAGGTACGTGCACGTCTGTACTTTAACCACAATCACTGAACACTGGTGTGTCTTTGAAAGGAAACTTCCACGTGTTTTCATCACATGTTGTTTGATACATGACTGAGACACATTACTACTTCGCTGAATAGTTCGGCTTCTTCTTTTTACTACTACTACTACTGTTTCCATGACGACCAGCGTTGTTGGCTCGCCGGCTGCCCCTTCAGGCTTGGCTGCTGTTCAGACACTCGGCGCAGCTCTCCCGGCGCCCGCCCCCCTTCACACAGTGTTTGGTTTAGAGACACAACAGCCACCAACAGTCCTGCTCTCAGCCTTTTCTGCTCTGTGTCTGGCTGCTTTTGAAGCGGCGGCTGCATTTGGTTCTTTGAGGGGATAACGTGTGTGTGTGTGTGTGTGTGTGTGTGCCAGTCTTGGACTTACAAGTCTGCTGTCACCGCTAAGAGTACCATGGTTTGTCCCCTCATGACATCACCGATCAGGGTCTTTGTGCTCTGATTCCTCGGTTCACCTTGAAGGACGCTGACAGAGAAGATTAAACATGAAGATTCAGCACTTTATATAAAACATGCAGCTTTACACTGAGAGAAACATCTGACAACAAAAGACAAAAAAGAGCAGACAAGTTAAAGCTTCTCCAACAGATGTCTTTTTGGTTTTACTGCACATTTACTGATCATATCTATAAAGTATTCATACAGAGAACAGCAGCTCAGTCACCAGAAGAAACTGTTGGCATTGAAAAGTGTCATCTAAAGTGTCGTAGTAAATGAACTACCTTTGTCATCAGGCGGTGGAGCGGATGGTGGACGGCATGACACAGGCAAAGCTGCAGACCACTGTTCAAGACCAACAAACAACAACACTGGTTGGGATGCAGGGAGTCAGAGCTGTGTTTCCACAGGTTTAAGGCACCAAACACAGGTGTTTGTCACAACCTGTCACAGTTTTTCCAGCGGCTTCTTAGACACCAAATGTTGATGTTTTGTAGCGACCCGTCGCTGTGTTTCCAGCGGATATAGTGCCTCAAAAAGCTGCTTTGTAGGCACCAAACATGTTGTTGGTTTTTTTGTAGGAGCCTGCTTTTTTTCTAGTGGCTTTTGTTTTGTATTGCCCCGTCACTGTGTTTCAAGTGGATAAGGTGCCATGAAAAGCTGTTGTTTTAACGGAATCCTCGTTGTGTTTCCAGCAGCTGTTTAGCCACCAAATGTCAGTGTTTCTTTAGCGCCCCGTCACTTTTTTTCCCAGAAGCTTTTAGGCACTCAATGTAGATGTTTTGTAGTGACCCGTCACTGTATGTCCAGCAGATATAGTGACACAAAATGCTGTTGTTTTTTACTGAATCCTCGCTGTGTTTTCAGTGGATATAGCGCTTTGAGTCACTGCTATGACTGAGTCACTGCTGTGTTTCCTGCTGCATTTCAGCTACCAAATATGGGTATTTCCTACTGTCCTGTCGCTTTTTTCCCAGCCGGGATAGTGACAAGGAAAGTGGTTGTCCCTTTCTTTCAAAGACATTTCTTGGTTTGGGGAGAGGCTCAGATGATGAAGTCTCTGATCTTGTCCTTGTCTATAAATTCTGTGGCTGCTGCCGGCTATTTAGTTGATATAAAGAACAAATGTGTCCCCAGTAGGCCCCAAAGATTCGAGGAGTCTCTGCTGCTCCCTGTAACCACAGGTAAAGTCAAAGACACACAGTGATGCTGTTTTTTGGGTCGGCCTCTGAATCTGACGACAGCACCGTCACATACGATCCAGTGGCGGCTGCTGGTCTTTCAAGGAGGGGAAGCTCATTTTCCTACATCATAAAATGTGTCCGTTTATTTATATGTAAATTCTATGTGCAGCTTGCTAGCTCACTCGCTAGATGGGGCTGCTGCGCGAGGCTAGTGTGAGCACCTGTGAGTGCTTTGAGGGGCTCACAGCAGCACCCACTGCTTGTTGGGGACAGTAACTGCAGAGCGACAGAAGTCAGAGTCTCCAAACACGAGTACAGTCTCCAATAACACCAGAAAAAGATGCTAGATTTGTCGCTAGTCATTTTTAACAAAGAAAAAGTCACTAAGAGGATTGGAAACGTCTCCAGATCAACGGAAGGAAAACAGAACGAAACTTGAAAAATGCTACGGTGGTGGTTTATATTTCAAGATCGCTGATTCGCTCATTTCTTTGTCCTGATGGGCGGGACAAAACCGAGCATTTATCCAATGACTGTCTAGTTTCACTGCAGTGGAACAACCCACTCTGTGCTTCCCCATTGAAGTCTTTGGACGCTGAGCTTCCACTGTTTAATGCACTGTGACGCTACGGGAATGAATGAGAAGAAAGTCGCGTCAGTGATAAGTAGCTGATTCTGAACAAAAGTTGAACGCGTTCTAGCACATATTTAGTCAATGAAATGTAAACACAACAGTACATATTTGACCACTTATTTTTTGACATTTTAGGGGAAGCTGAGCTTCCCTTGCAGTCTTAGAGCAATCGCCACTGATACGATCTTTAAAGGGTTACTCCAACGCTCCTCCACATCAGCGTGTGTTTCCAGGTGTTGGAAAGTTTAAATTGTATTATAAAGACTTTGGTGTCTCTTTTTTCATGACCTCTTAACCTCTCCTGAGAAACCACCCACAGAACACACTCCACATTTTTCAGCTCAACTTCAGGTAAAGCTGGGTTTGCTGTTTTGTACACTGCGGCCTCTAGGGGGCGCTCTGAGGACTAAATGCTGTTTTAATGACTGAAAGTCATTAGTGCATGCACACACTCCCACACTGGGATATTTTGGGCTGTTTTGAGGACATTAACCGCTGCGTTAAATCGAGCCGTCTTAGAGCAGAGCACTAATATGGAAGTAATGAAAAGTTGTATGATCAGATTTTAGATTTAGAGGCGTTAGTTTGCTGGATTCCTGTTGGGATTAAACCAGATTAGTTTGTGGAGCGAAGGAACCTGCTGAGAGAACAACAGACCGGCAGTCCGTCAGTCAGTCCTCGACTCCAACCTGAGGTTCCCGTCTTAGACATTCACAGTCTGCAGTCCTGAAACCAGGAGCTGTTTGAGCTGTTCGATTCGGTCTGATTATCCAACTTTTACTACCACAGATCATGAGCTATGACGCATACACACACCTCTACACACACACCTCTGTGTCGATAAAGATGACGGGTCGTGTTCTGCCGCTGTGGCTGAGTGCATCATTAAATAAGGAGTATTTTGAATGGGGTTTGGCTCAGTGATCTTCTCCAGCATTCAGAGCAAGAACAGTGAATATTCACACCAAGATCTTGGCATTACCACAATGTAGAACAAAACACACACACACACACACACACACATCCGCAGGAGGAAATATTAAATCTCTTTCTCTTTACACTTCACTAACCAGAAAGAACGCTTTGTCCAAACACAGAACATTTACAACGCTTCAGTGGTGGCACACTCTCACCCACCCACACACACTGACCTCTCCTGAGTGTTTTGTGACCCCACAGACAGCCAATGAGAGGGCCCATAGCCGGTGATGTCACCAGGTGACTGTCGGGGTATTGTTGCGAGAACAGAGGGAGGCACGCTGCCTGGCGACACCTGACTCCTCTCTACTGTTGGAGGTGTTAGTAACGTATCATTAGCTGTCACTCATTTTCAACATAATCTCATTACTGACCTGGCAGAGCTTTAATGTTGTCACCAAATGTAACAATAGAGGTTTTTTTGCGCGGAGGTGAAAAGGTGATGTCGAGACCGTTAAATGCTCCGACGAAACTCAGAAAGTGAAACACAGTCTGAACTTTGTGTTTGAGAGTATCAACAGATATTCCCCTCAGGAGGTGGTGTACACCAGTGCTGGGACGTTTCAGTGTTTAAATACCAACATGCACTGTCTGTTGTCAAAATACACTTATGTTTTCACAGGAAATGTACAGTTTGCATACAGTCTCTTTTAGTCAGTGTCTGACGCTAGAAGTCACTGACCACCAAGCTCCGGCTTTCGACGACTTCGGAGCGTGACCGTGTTGGCTACCTGTGCTGAATTGTTTTAGATAGATTTCCATCAAGGGTTTAGATGGCAGCAGGAACATCGCGAGACGCAACCTTTTTGTCTTTCAGGAGTTTAGAAGCAACTTTAAATGAATGAAACAGCTTGTCAAAAGCAGAGTGTAAGCTGGAGAGCTGATAGCATACAAGACAGTGTCATCAGCGTAATAACGGACATTACATTCACTGTGCAAACCAATCGCCAGAATAAATGTTGGTATTATACGTCTCTGCAAACCACAGATATGTTACATTTGTATGTTATTATGTAGCAGAGACATTCAAACTTTTCACGCCATTATTCCAGCTGAAGATACAGTGACAGGTCGCTACACAACACCTACATTTGGTGCCTAAAAAGCAGCTGAAAAAAAAACAAAAACGTGATGACTTGCTAAATCATAATCGGTTTTGTTATTTGTTGATCTCAAACAGTGATAGTTTGCAGCTTGGCAGCCTCGAATGTCTCTGCTACCCTTGAGAGACGGGTACACCAGGTCACCAGACTGTCACAGGACTGACACATAGAGACAGACAACCATTCACACTCACATTCACACCTACGGACAATTTAGAGTCACCAATTAACCTGCATGTCTTTGGACTGTGGGAGGAAGCTGGAGCACCTGGAGGAAACCCACGCTGACACGGGGAGAACATGTCAGAGCACCTGGAGGAAACCCACGCTGACACAGGGAGAACATGTCAGAGCACCTGGAGGAAACCCACGCTGACACAGGGAGAACATGTGGGAGCACCTGGAGGAAACCC